ATCATGGACAGCACTGTGGCTGCAGTGGAGTCATTCAGATTCCTGGGCACAACCATCTATCAGGACCTGAAGTGGGACATTCACATTGACTCAATTGTGAAAAAGGCCCAGAAGAGATTGTACTTCCTTCGTCAGCTGAAAAAGTTCAACCTGCCACAGGCACAGATGACACAGTTTTACTCAGCTGTTATAGTTGGTTCTGTGCTCTTCTATAACCGTCTGGTTTGGGTCAGCCAGCAAATCAGATATAAGAAGACTGCAACGGACTGTTAGGACAGCAGGATCATTGGTGTGCACCTGCCCAGTCTTCAGGACGTGTACAACTCCAGAGTGAAGAAACAGGCAGATAACATCTTCAAAGACCCCTCTCACCCCGGAGACAACCTGTTTGCACTTCTCCCTTCAGGAAGACGCTACAGATCTCTGTGCACTAGAACATCTAGGCATGTTTTCCCCCATGCCATCTCCAGCCTAAACAGCTAACACCTGAATCATTACCTGTGTTCTGTAATTTATTCTACATCTTTAATTATTGCCTCTTTCTCAAGTATTATGTAAATACATATGCATATCTCTTTATTTATACAGTTTTTTATATATAGTAAACAATGCACAAATCTGTACATAAATCTACTGTTCCAGATTCATACACATTATTTATTGATAAGTCTTACTATTTAAATGTTTTTTTCTGTTCTCATGTCAGATGTGTATGTATGTATGTATGTACCAGGGGCACCTTAAAAAAAAATAAAACACACAACAAATTCCTCGTGTGTTTGTGCACACCTGGCGAATAAAGCCGATTCTGATTATGAAAAGAGTTCAGATGTAAAAGACTAAAAGTGCAGTTTGAAATTTTCTTCTAAAATTAGAATTTTTTTCAGGCCTCTGTTTTAATGTTCATAAAATACACTTAACTTAAAATGTTAGTTATGTTGCAAGACTAAGTGTCATATAATTAACAGGTGGGGAACAACATGGTGGATTTGTGCCTTGGGGACGAGACAATGGCATCCCAGACCTTCGCCATTGTTTCGGGCGATGTGAAACGGACTCGTTGCGTGGGAATTTCTTCAGATTGCAGTATATCATATTGATGGCCGTAAGTCTTCATGTGTGAAGTTTTTGAAAACAACAGTTTTTTTTCTGGCCACTTGTAACATGTTTTCATTTTCACATGTATTGTCTGGTGTAGGACTATTTTTCGGCTTAGTTTTAATGGCACAATGTTTGGAATGATTCTCATAAGGTAATAATTTTTTTTTGAGTGTTCTGATGCTGCAATGTTGACAAAGAATAGGAATCTACAGTGCTTAGTTTACACAGTTTTGTGTTTTAAAGAAACTGATCTACAAAAACCGTTGTTTTATTTGTGTCTGTAGGAGTTGTATAAAATGTGTGACAGCTGCACCCATTTGAAAATTAGTTTTAAAAAGAAATGTGAAAACTCATTAAATTGATGTTTACAGTTGTATGTTTTTTGTTGTGTAACTATTACAGAAAAACAATAATAATTTTACATTCATTTGTGATTATTGGTAACTATAAAGGTAGCAAGGCAATGAGACAACAAATAACCCAATGTTTAGGTAATGTTTAACCCAGCAACACTGTTAACCTGAGCCACTGGTTGGGTCAAATAAACAACCCAGCGTCCCATCTGTCCCATAGTTACCCAGCGGATGAGTTAAGGTTGGGTTATTAGTTTTTAACCCAGCACTTTTTAGTGTAAAATTGTAGCCTACATGTTACATGTACATTTATAAAACTGAACATAAACTGACAGATAAGCTATTTTTGAAACACTGAACATAGTGTTACACAGATTTGTTTTTGATACGGTTCTGGGACAAAAATGAAAATAAAACTAACTGATGTTACTGCAGCATAAACATTTTTAAATACAAACAGAATTAAACTAAACTGTGTTTTAATATTGCATCTTTTACATTTCATATAGCAAACATAAAGATGCTGTATGTGGAATATATACCTGTAGGTTCCATTCTGAAGGTTCTTTCCGTGTTGCCGTCAAGAGAGCAGGAAGTTATTTGTGGGTGGAGTCAGTTACTCTGTACAGGAATCCGAGGGTAAAAGTTAAAGCTGAAGTTTGTCTGCAAAGGAGCCATAATGTACAACAACAGCAATTGGAAATCAGCAGCTGATTATGAAGACCTTCATTGACAAAAACATATATAGTAACAGTAAAATCTGTCAGTTTTTCTTTTTTCTGTAAAATAACTTTCAGTGACATTCCATTAACTAATCATTATCTTTTAATACAGCACTAGTCACATTACTTTACACTTTGCAAGTTGCTGCCTTAAATTTTTAAGTACAGTCATTTTGTATAAGCTGTATAAGTCATTGAAGAAGATTTGCTTGTACTATTAGTTTAATAATTCTATAGAAGAACGTTCTTTTCAAATAATCTGTTAACTAAATAGCCTATATAAGCTAGTTGCAGTGATTTTTACAATGACAATGTACTGCATTCAAATTTAAATGCATCAATATGTCAGAGATCATTTGCAGTAGCTGTGTCCTGCTTTTACAGTTGCTAAATGTGAGCAGACTTATGTTCAGGTGCTCACCACTGCCAAAACACATGTAACTGACTAAACACAGAATCACAGTTGTGTTGTTACTTTAGTTGCTTCTTCACTTAGCATGTAGAAACATACATGAATAACTGAATATTTTTCAAGCATTTTATTGTGGCATTCACTGTTATTTTTCTGCACAGTGATAACTAGTGAAAAGTGTTTCCTACTAATTTACTTAAAAGTATAGTTAACCCAGAATTCTGTCATCATTTACATTATTATATCAATTCCCCCTCCTTTTTTTTCAAACCCCTGACGTTTGTTTTTCTGCAGAACTCAAAAGATGATATTTTGAAGAATGCTGGTAATCAAAACCAACAGGTTTGTCACGTGTAGACGACATAAAGGTACAGGGGTGCAGGAAGATGCTTTCAGTTGGGGGTGCTGTAATAAGGTAGTCAATTATTTTCATTTTTGGGTAAACTAACTCTTTAATTAGGATGATACACAATTTAAATTTTAATCATACTGGACACAGCCACTTAATGTGCTAGAATTAAATGGGTAAATGATAATAAGAGCAACAGTTATCACAGTATTCACTAATTACCTTTAAAATGTATTCATAGTTAGGTAATAATTATTACAATTAGTTTACCAAGTACAAAATGTTTAATTCAAAAACTTTGCCATTTACCAATGTGTTTTTCAAAACACCTTTTAAATGTGTAACCTTTATTTATTAGATGTTACAGTCCAAGTGTACATATAAATGCCTCATTCATTCAAACCCTGGGCACGATGTAACACTGTGTTACAATGTGCCCTGCCGTGCTATTCTATAACATTACCGATGTAATTCACACTATTTACTTTAATATATTTTAATGATAAACGACGAGAAACAGGTAAATAAAGACAGTCAATGTTTAATGTTAATAAATTTTTATTTCAAGACATGTAAAGCATTTTAGCTCGTTTATGTGGGCCGTCCCAAGCATGGTTGCAATGTGTTCATTGTCAAACTCCAAAATCAGATTATTTTTAATTCTTAAAAATACCATTATTTTATTTGAAATAAATAATTGTTTTATTTTATTGACAAAAATTGTTTTGTTTGTATTGTATATTTGTTTCATTCGATCACATAACATTTTAAGCTGTTATATGGTCATGTTACAACGTGCCCCTCAGATATTACAATGTACCCCACCTACAGGGCATGTTGTCACATTTCACTTCCAATTTTGAGGGTAAATAAAGAAAAACGTATACACTGTAATTATGAAACAAAGTGACATATTTGTACTAGACAAGTGTGAAATTACTGTGGATAAAAAAAACGTATACTCTGAACCCCATGTGGATTTACATAATTTGAGAAAGTCAAAAAGTGTTACTTTGTGCCCCGCTCTCCCCTATTTATGATATTGCTAATTGATTTGTTTGTTCCTATCTTATTACTGACGGTTTACTTGTCTTTAACACTTTAATATTTGAAATGTATATTAATCTAGTTGTTTTTGCTGTGGTATTTTTTTTGAAAGCATAGGTAAAATTCCTCTTGCAGTGTTCTGTAGGCTGCTGATTTTTGCTCGTGTTATTCAGCTGCAACAGAATGCTGTGTAAAAAGACAGAATAAATGTTTGACATCTAAATGTTTGACTTAATTTTTTTTATATTGGATTTTGTATCTTATTGGAATCAAAACTAGGAATCGATAAGAATCTGAATCGATAAGCAGGATCGGAATCGATCAAATTCAAACGATACCCAACCCTAGCTATAGCTAAAAATGGCCTGGCGATGCCCATGTTGAAAGATGAAGCAGTACTAGATCTGACTGCAGCTGCAAACCGTAAGTAAATGATTTCATATTGCTTTGTCTGGAAATTACCATTTTATTTTGATTGTTTTCAAAACACTCAAAGTATGCAATAGCAAGGGGATGTACGGTTTCCAATGATGTTAGCCAATCATAACAGTGGCCTATTACTGACTGAAGTCTTAAAGGACCCGCCCCTTAAAACAGCTTGTTTCTCAGAGAGAGAATCAGAATGATGGTTGAAAATAATTTTTCCACTTTTTTTTTTTTGGTGCAAAATTTTTTATTACCATTATAAGTAAACCTCAAGGAACATATTAAAATAATAATAATAATAATAAAAAAAACATGTCATGACTCCTTCAAAGCAAAAATAACTATATTGTGATATATATATTGTAATTGTTAAATACAATTACTGATATTGTGATATAAGATGTTGGTCATATTGCCCACCCCTACTGGGAGCCATGGATGAGTTTTGATTGCAATGAGTGGTCAATTAGTTCTGTGAGCCCACCCATACTGAGAGCCATGGATGAGTTTTGATTGCAAAGAGTGGTCAATTAGTTCTGTGACAGAGCTAACCAATGAAATTGAGCCAAAGACATTAGTCATGACTGTGGGGTGGGGTTTACGCTTAACTGGTTTGGGTTTGGGTTGGGTCAGTCCCAAATTGTACCCTAAATCCTGAAATAATTTCAACAAAGTCTTATCAATAGCTCCTGAATTAATTCAACACAATTCAAAGAGTATACAACCTTTCTTTGAGTAACATAATACAAAAATATATATTTATGTTTGATTCACTGAAAATATTTAAACATTTGGAGAGAAAAGCTCCAAAAAAAATGAAAAGGAATATTGGATCTGTATATGGACTTTTATTATCTCTTGCAACATTAATAATGCAAAACGTATAAAATGTATAAGTGTATTTAGCGTATTTCCACTCACAATTTACATTACAAAACACTTGAAATAAAAAGCCAACCCATGTAGAGAAGGGGTCTACCCAAGTTAATATCTTTGAAATGCTTGCATAATTTCATACTCTTAAAAATGTATAAATATCCACCTTTTTGGTGGGAAGTCGTGGCCTAATGGTTAGAGAGTCAGACCCGTAAGTCAGACCCCACAAAGGTTGTGGGATCGAGTCTCGTACCACAAAAAAAAAAGAGATTGTGGGTGGAGGGAGTGAATGTACAGCGCTCTCTCCCACCTTCAATACCACGACTGAAGTGCCCTTGAGCAAGGCACCGAACCCCCAACTGCTCCCCGGGTGCCGCAGCATAAATGGCTGCCCACTGCTCCGGGTGTGTGTTCACGGTGTGTGGATTCTAACAGATTATAAAAAGGTAAGAAAGAGATGGTTCTTTAAAGAACCTTTGACTGAATGGTTCTTTGTGGAACCAAAAAAGGTTCTTCTATGGCATCGCTTGAAGAACCTTTTGAAGCACCTTTATTTTTAAGAGTGTATAATCTTGTCATTTTACATAATTGACGCACTATTTTCCTATTTGATACTGTACAGTGCTTTGACACAATCTGTATTGTTAAAAGCGCTATATAAATAAAGGTGACTTGACAATTTCTTTTGTAACATGGAAAAAAGAAAGTCACACAGGTTTCGAACAACATATGCGTCATGTATTCACCAGGCTCTCTCGTCTCACACACACACACTCACAGAAGCACACATTCACACACACACTGACACGCGCACACACTCACACACAGCACTCTCTCTCACCAGCCTTCTAATGACCATTAACTGCCGCTCATCAGCTTATCAATCAGCCCTGCATTAAAGCACGCATAACTCTTCTCTCCTTGTTTGAACTTGAACTTTTTTTTTTTAATCTTCATGTATTTCACAAAACTTCAGCTTGTTATTCTTAAGTCAGGGTCCTTTTTTAGGATTTTTTATCAAAGCAAAGTCTCTGAGAATCTGACACATTGCACTTCTGGAGACTCCAGGAAGGTTGCAGTTCTGGAAAATGATGGTGCTGGAGACTAAAGGGTTCCTGATGGTTTCACACCTAATTCTTCACATTAATTCTTAATTCTTTTGCAGTTAACATGTGTCTTCTCAACCTGTTTTTGTTCTGACCCTGCTGATTCAATAAACATTTAGCTGTCCAACGGTCATGCCTTAACTTTGCAAATTCTAGTATTGCATCCTTCTCATGGGCTTTTAATCATTTTTGACTTTTCAGTCGGAGTTAAATATCTTTTTTGGCTCATTTTATCTGTAAAAGAAAACGTGCCTAATAATTCTGCACACCTGAATATAAGGAGATTTTCACTTCCAGCTTTCATGGACAATTATGTATCACTTATAAATGATTAAACAAAATTAATAGTAGCTACTTGTAAAACGTGCTTGGAAAAATATGATCAGAATATCAATTTAAAAATTATGCACACACTGTAATATAAGTAAATAATACTAAAATAACTGTTTATATAAGATATGCATAGATAACATAGATAATATCTAACATTAGGTATGGATATATGATATTTTACAATCAATATGTTCAAAGCTTAATTAGCCTTGTCATATTTAGATTTTGTCAATTCTTCAATGCAAATTTACTGCAACTGCTGGTATGCAAATTGAATAGGATGTGGATAAAACTATAAATAAACTTTTTTTATAATTATTCTATTTAATTTATAAAGTTGTTAATTCCCTAACCGTGTATTTATTATATGAATGATTAATGGAACTCTGCATTTGTATAAATAAAGCTGTTCTATTATTTTCTGAAACCTGGACTTTTTTGTTTTGCCCGTGTTGTGAGGATTTGTGTAAAGTTTATATAACTTAATGTTGAGTTTTATTATTTTTGTGAGTTGCACTCTATTCATAGATTGGATTCTTTTATTACAGTTTTTCACTTCTTAAAACTTGAGAAGTTCATACAAATTGTATTTGACTGTTCTGATTTACAGCAGTGAATAAATGCTATTAATTGATAAGGTATCTCTGTTTATTGCGGATTTTAAATCTTACTGAACTTTAAATGATTCAGATATCTAGTTTTACATATAAAAACACACTATATGATTGGCCCCTCTGTATTAGTTGTGGCCCCTCTTGTGCCCCCCAGTTAAAAAAACATCCTAGAATCATGTGCGCAGGGTTAAGCTGTGCGTTAATTTGACAAGAAACACCAGAGACCGGAAATTTAACGAATCTTTCCGTTATGAAAGATTATAGACTTTCCCGTCCAGGAAAAATGTTTATATGCATGTGATGTTACAAGTTCTTTCCAACCGGTACTGCCTTGAACTCGTTCATTGTTGAACGCCGCTCGAAAAGGGGAGTTCGGTGAATTCCGTGGATGTCATGTTTGCTGCGAACAAACAAGTGAACACGCGGACGCGTCGAGTAAAATCGGGTTACTCGATTTTACAAGAAAATGATAAGAGAACACGACAGCACAGTGTAGACTTCTGAAGCAGAAAAACAAGTGGGCGTACTGAGGGTCGATTATATGCAAATATTTAAGGTAAAAATCCTAATATGCAAACAGTTGTGGGATACGCAATACGTGCGTAAGGCCTCAACTTCACCACTGATAATGCTCAGAGCATCACGTTTTAGAATTGTAGCCTACATGTTAAATGTACATTTATGAAACTGAACATAAACTGACAGATAAGCTATTTCTGAAACACTGAACACAGTGTTGCACAGATTTGTTTTCGACACGGTTCTGGGACAAAAACGAAAGTAAAACTGATGTTACTCCTTCGTTGTTAAATAAACAGAATAAAACTAAACTATGTTTTAATGTTGCATCTTACTTTCACATTTTATATAGCAAACAAGCATGCTGTATATGTGAAATATATACCTGTATGTTCCATTGTGTTAAGAAGGTTCTTTCCGTGTTGCCGACAAGAGCTCTCACAATAGTGTGCAGGAACAGGAAGTTATTTGTGGGTGGAGTCAGTGGGTCCAGGAAGTTATGTGTGGGTGGACTCTGTACAGGAATCCGAGGGAAAAAAGCTGCAACTCGTCTGCAAAGGAGCCATTATGTGTAACAACAGCAAATAAATCAGCAGCTGATTATGAAGACCTTCACTGACAAAATTAGTAAAATCTGTCAGTTTTTTTTTTCTTCACTGTAAGAGAGCTTAAAGTGACATTCCATTAATATTATCCCTATGACCATTTTATGGTCACTTTACCTGCAATGTGCACATGTAATACTTCCTTTATCTAAACCTTTCTCTTTTTGTTACTATTATTTCTGTTGGTGCAAATAGACATAATCTGTTACCATGTTCCTGAAGAGATTTCTGCACATTTCTGTAAAACACCTTCCGGATCCTTGTCTTTGTTGATCGTCATCACAGTGTATGCATTAAACTCTTCTTTAAGTATTTATTTGTTCGCTTTACATGCTTTGATGCAAAGTATCAGAAGTGTATGCCCTGTATTCTGTAATCAATTACATATTACAAGATTAAGAAAATGTTTATTTGTATATGATGTAGTTCAATGTTCATTTACTAGTGACTTTATTAATAATGCTACATAATATCCAGTATGAGAAATAAAAGAAAACACTAGGTGTTCAATAAAAATTAGCGGGAAATTAAGGATGTCAGACATAGGCCATTTGTGGAGGTTTATTTCAGGCATTATTGTCAACTTTCTGCAGTGCTGTACTACTAATTAAACTGTTTAGATCAATTTAGCCGTACAAATTTAAGCTAAACACATCAGAGTAAAAATAAATTGTATTTTCCTAAACTAGCATAAGTTTGTTTGATCTGCACTGCAGTGTCCTTACATTACCTATTTATTTGAATGCCTGTAATCAATCAGGCAAAACAGCTTAGACAATTTATCATATTACACAGTTGCTTTGAAAATGTGAACAGTTGCAGTTTATGATTGGTACTGAAACTGTATTACCTTTTAGAAATAATCCATTAAACAATTTGCAATTAGTAAAGTGTTCAGCCATACACAAATATTTCCAGTTAGGACATACCCATAATAGTGGGGAATTAATGAACATTTAAGCCTTATTAAAGACAGAAGTGTACCCACACTCTTAAAAAAATAAAGGTGCTTTAAAAGGTTCTTCACATGGATGTCATAGAAGAACCATTTTTGGTTCCACAAAGAACCATCTCTTTCTTACCTTTTTATAATCTGAAGAACCTTCTTTCACCACAAAGAACCTTTTGTGTAACAGAAAGGTTCTTCAGACGTTAAAGGTCCTTTATGGAACCATTTAGACAAAAAAGGTTTTTCTATGTGTGACGGAGTGGCACAATTTTGAGACCCAAGCTTTTATAAATAAGAAAATCTGACTAAGCCACCCTAGGAATTACCCCCAGGGAAAAATACTCAAACAACCCAAAAATGTGGTGATCAAGCACACAGATTCGGTTCCCTCATAGAATTAGGCAGGAGACGTGGGTAAAGTATAAAAATATTAATAAAATATTAATATTAAAATATAAAATAAAATAAAAAATACAAATACAAATGTTTATTGATACAAAATGTTTTAAAATACTAGACACTAAAATCAACAGGAAAACTGGAAACCCTACTTCAAATAAAAGAAAGCAAATTGCAAACAGAAAAAAAGGTACTGATTCAAGCCAACTTTATACACCTGTAACAATTATATGTAAAACAAAACAAAATGAAATAATCAATATCAGCAGGGCTGAGGCTCTCAACAGCAGGAAACAAAATGGAGTTTGGTTTTACAAAGGCACATTTTCACACTCTAAAAAATCAAATTAACAAAATGTTGGAAGGGCAAAAATATTTAAGTTGAGCTAATTTTATTGCTTGGGCTTAGTTGAGAGGACATATTATATTAAAGGGGTCATATGATGCGATTTCAAGTTTTCCTTTCTCTTTGGAGTGTTACAAGCTGTTCGTGAATAGATAAGATCCCTAAAGTTGCAAAGACTAAAGTCTCAAACCCAAAGAAATATTCTTTAAAAAAGTTAAGACCGGTCCACGCCCTCATAAAATGCCTCATTTAAACACGCCCCCACATGGCCACGTCACGATTTGGGAAGATTTGCATAACACCGCCCAAATGTTCACGCAAAGAAAGAATGTGTAACTTTATTGTTGCTGCCACCGTGTTGTGAAGATGCTGTGTGTTTTGTTGCGAAAGCGAAAATACTCTGTTTGGCCTTCCAAAAGAGGACACAACTAGAAATCAGTGGTTAAGTTGTATTTACAACACTGTTCCAGAACAGTTCAACCCAAATATTCAGATGTGTGCAGCGCATTTTATGGAGGACTGTTTCCTGATCCTGGTAGAGTAGACTACAATGCCGGCTATTCTGACTCACAGATTGTAAGTACGTTTTCATTTTAAGGATTTGCCACTGATGATTCAAACGCGAGTGAGCTGTGTAGAGTAGCGCTTGTTGTTTGTCATTTCTCCGATCTCAAATGCAGACATGGTTTTATGTTTATGCAGCGCGATGCAACGCAACGCGTAAAAAGACAGTATAAGTCATTATAATCCGTAATTATGTCCCCACTGGATGCAACAAATGCCTCGTTTATAATGGGTTTGAATGTTTTGGTCTCGTCGCTCCGGCCGGACATGGCATCACAGTATGGTAAGGGGCATAACATTTCTGTCACACGCTTGAAGAATTCCGCCAATCACAACTCACTGGATAGCTGGCCAATCACAGCACACCTCGCTTTTCAGAACGATGAGCTTTGTAAAAATCGAAGCGTTTCAGAAAGGCGGAGCATAGAGGAGAAACAATAATGTACAGTATGTGGAAAATAATGTGTTTTTTGAACCTTAAACCGCATAAACACATTTCATTACACCAAATACACAAAATAATGTTCTTTTTAGCAACATCATATGATCCTTTTAAGTCTACACAAATATATTTGAAAAACATTGAACGAACAGTTATTTTCAAATCCAGTCAACAATTAGCTATGCTATTAGCTATTAGCTATGTTGACTAAACTAATAAAAACAAATCCAGCCAACACTGAGATCATTCCGCACGAGCCTGAGTGACTCCGTGGGAGAAACAGCGCCATCTTGTCAAGTTCACACCTTGGGTAAATTGCACTAAATAAATGTTTTTAGACTAAATTTATTGGAAAAATAACTTATAGCATATCCAATGTTTTTGAGTGGATATTTAGAAGGGATTTATAAGTTGTGTGTCCGAAGAAAAATGAATATTAGGCTGTTAAGTGTACAGGTGCATCTCAATAAATTAGAATGTCGTGGAAAAGTTAGTTTATTTCAGTAATTCAACTCAAATTGTGAAACTCGTGTATTAAATAAATTCAATGCACACAGACTGAAGTAGTTTAAGTCTTTGGTTCTTTTAATTGTGATGATTTTGGCTCACATTTAACAAAAACCCACCAGTGATGAAATGTTGTTTTGGAGAGGGTTTTTTGTTTTTTTTTACCATTGCTGCCGGATCTTTTCCAGATGTTGAAACTCCTCCTCAGTTTCTCCAATTCTTCTGAGTGTGTTCACTGTATAAATTAATATGGATTAATCTTTGTCAAAGCTGTGTTTGTTCTGTTGTTTGCTCTTTGCTCTTCTTGCGCTGTTTTAAAATCGATTGAGTTTGTAAACACATACAAATGATACAACTTTTACTCTATTAAATTTTGCAATTAATCCTCTGAACACATGCGTGCTGAACCGAGGACCTAGTCACGGGTCACTATCAACTGTAATCTGCTCCCTTCACTAAAATGTCACGGCTCCTAAACATGATAACAAATAATATATTTTTTTTAATATAGAAAATTAAGAGTTTAGTTACTTAAAAAACAGCGATTTTACCCCATTCGTTGCTGAGAAATATAATGTAGCGATTCAGTATTGATTAATAAAAGTCGCGTGGCAGCGCTGACAACAAGTTTATGAGCTTCTGAATGTTACTTTTTGCACAGCGCAATCTCAGATCTCTGTATGCGAGTGTGCGCGCATCAATTAAAACAGCGCATTAATATCGAACGGTGATTAAACTGAACTGTTTTAATGCATTGGCCTTGTCACACACACACACACACAGTGGTGTTCAGTACGGTCACGCTGTATATCTGATATTCAAGAAACTTTTGAAAAGTTAAAAAAACAATTTATGAAAAAATCCTCAGAAACTATTTGCATGAAAATCGTGATTAAACTGAACGGTTTTAATGCATTGGCCTTGTCACACACACACACACACAGTGGTGTTCAGTACGGTCACGCTGTATATCTGATATTCAAGAAACTTTTGAAAAGTTAAAAAAACAATTTATGAAAAAATCCTCAGAAACTATTTGCATGAAAATCAAATAGGGCTATTGTTTTTTTATCGTATCATTTAACAGATGTAAACATGTTTCCGATCAGCTTCACTAGAAACAAACTCTTGGGCATAAGGAATAGCACACCAGATAACTTTTTGCCAACGTTTGAACATTCAGACGTTTTACTGGACATTTTAGTCGGAGGAGCTGCGTTCCTATACAAGTGCTCCAGGTGACGCAAGCGAGGAAAGCGCGCCGGCGCGCTCATGAAACTCCGTCAGCGCGGTTTTACCGTGTCATACAGACAAGAGGTTGAGCAGCTGGCGGTCTGGTGCAGTCACAACAACCTGGAGCTGAACACGCTCAAAACTGTAGAGATGATAGTAGACTTCAGGCGAAACTCCCCTGCTCTCCCCCCACTCACCATCATGAACAGCACTGTGGCTGCAGTGGAGTCATTCAGATTCCTGGGAACCACCATCTCACAGGACCTGAAGTGGGACACTCACATTGTCTCCATCGTGAAAAAGGCTCAGCAGAGGTTGTACTTCCTTCGTCAACTGAAAAAGTTCAACCTGCCACAGGCGCATATGACACAGTTTTACTCAGCTGTTATTGAGTCAGCTCTGTGCTC